TTTCACAGATTAATTAGGGCGCACCTGAAGTAGAAAAGTAGTTCAAATACGAAGTATCCCTTTCAACCAAGTTTAATAAAAGAGTACTTTAAAATTACGAACCACTAGAAAACCTGATGAATTCATCGAAATTATCACTCGAGGCAGTTACCTAACCAGTTCGAGGAGTTAAAGTGTCAGGAATTAATATTCCAATCAGAACTTCCACCTTCATAATCGCTTGTAAATCCCTCCGAAATACCAAACACCATCTATCGTATTCGTTCCCGGCGACGCTTAAATACCATCGCGAACAACTCGTACAATCGTAAATCTTCCTTAAGCGATCTTTTATCACCCCGCACGGTTTACCGGACTTACAAGCGTATCCGTCCATGGAAAATCACGTAATTAATAGATTAAGCCGATGATCGTGCATATTGCACCCTCGTACCGTTTTGGCATCTGCCTCTGTTATCTCTCTCTTGTTGGATCACACTCTTCTTTGCAAGATTTTTGACTGTGTAATGATGCTGAAGGTTAAGGTATTCAGTTAAGATACTTCAAAGGTACTTTAACTAGGTTATCTTTTTTTAGTAGATTCTTTTGGATATTTGTGCGTCACCATTTAGGTGCATTAGCATATGTGTTCTTTGGACATGTGCTCTTCGTTGAAACATTTAATTTATATGTGTTTATATTGAAATTAGTTATTGATGTCGAAGCTATTTCAAGTTGCAGAAGTAATAATATGTGAAACCTCCTTCGTTATCGCGAATGAAGGTACAATTTAAAATGGAGACCGACATCGAGCATTTTGAAACCGGCTTTGAACTCGGCGTCACCGATAACCGCATGTTCTGTCCCTTTCGTTCGGCTGGGACAATATTGGTTCATTCCGGCGAGCAACTTAAATCAATGAGACCGTTTTATTCCTTTCCTACTCGCCGATACGTTCAACGAGCGACCTAAGTATCCGCAGGGATATCTCTGCAGATTTTACAAATCCTTTGGCCAAACAAGTGGCGAGGATCTGGCAGGTGCCATTTGCCATTGAAATCCTGCTGCCATTAGAGACGTCCGATCTAAATCCCGCTGGCATTTGCGCACCGGATTGTCGTCTTATCCTGCCGTTTCTCCTTCTCGCTTCAGCACGTGCCTTGCTCTAGCTTCCTCCAGGACACGCGCAACCTTTCGCTGCGTTCGAACCCTCTTCGTGCATTTCCCTCTTGTTATTTCACTGGTCGTCCCTTCGCGGCGGCCGGTTGCCCGCCAACGTACAATCTCTCTTCTGGACCGTTTCTGGCAGCGAACGTTACCCTGTTAAGATCCGCAAAGCAAACACCGAACGGGAGATAAGAGTGTCCTTCGGGAGGCCGCCAAGGATAACAGAGAGCTTTAAAAGGTTCGTGGGGACCGTTCTTGCACGCCACTTCTCGCGGACGTTTTTCAAATTCGATTTTCCTGCTGTTCGTTCGACGAGTTTACTGCTCTTCTACTCTTCTGCTTTTTCACATTCTACGTTATCGAAAATACGTTTACATTTTCTTTCGAGTAATGCTCGATCCCTTTTTTCATTTTTCTCGCGCATCAAATTTTTCACCTGTTCGCATAAACACGAGATCCCATCGGCAGACACGCACGATTTCCTCCCCATTCATCCCCCGTTCATTCAATTTCCACAGCGCCGACTCTCTTTCCAGCGTCGACTGGCGCCCCATTGACAACAGTGCTTTTCAATTCGGCTTCTTGTTACGTATTCAATTAATCCGCGGAATCTTGCGCATCCAGAACCGGATACATCCCGGTTTCTCGTGGTCCAAGGAGCAAGAGGTCGACCGCGGAGAAGTTGGCAAAATACGGGAATAATTTAAATTTTGTATCAACGATGAATACAGAAAATCTCTCGGATGGAATCGCATTAAAGATATTAGTTGGCATGCTATCGTTGCGCAACGGAATATCCAGATTGAACAGAGAAAATATTCCTCTTTCGCATTGCTACGAAGCTAGACAATTATCATCCGGATTATTTCGATCGGTCCCGAATAAAATATTACACGAAAAAACGTGTACAGAGCGTTAGAAAGGGCGATAACGATATCCGGCGATACCGCGGTATCTCACGATCTCTGATGACCCCCGATCGAGGAAGATGGACAAAAAGATCCGAGTTGCTCGAAGAAGACGAACGCCGTTATTCACCGTTGAAAAACCTCGAATTCCCTACCCTCCCGGTTCGAGAAGAGCAAACAATCTAACAAGCAAAAAATCCCTTTTACGTCCCGAGTACCGAGAAAGTCGCTCGATGCTTGTTAAAAGAAGGCCCGCCGTCTCTCTCCGAGTGTCTCTTGCCCGTACGCTGGAAAAAGAAGAGAAAAGAAACGCGGCAAGGGAGGGACAGGTGAAAGGGAGAGGACGAAAAGCACGACAGGGGGTTGTGTCCTTCGTTAAGAGACGTTAGCGAGACACCTGGTGCACGATTACGCTTCGCGCTACTCGCACATGGGGTTTTCCGGTGATGGCGCCTCTATGGGGACTGAAAGCCCGCTGGATGCCCGACGACATCATGACGGATGGGTACGTCAGCCGTTGCAACCGGCGAGCAACGAACAATAACGTTACGAATGTTTCATTTTCGCAACGGTGTCCACTTCCGCCGCGAACTTTTCATCGTCATCGATCATCCACCGGTAATCGGCACGAGTGCGCGCCCGGTGAAAAACTGGTCGATCATTTCGCGCAAAATGGGAGTTCAGAAAATTATCCGGGATGGACTGGGATTTTCGCTGTTTTTCCTCGAATAAAACATTCCCTGATGTTTTCTTCCCGAGGAGGTCTTGGCTACGACAAAAGCAGTCCGTTGAATCACGCTACGCTTAAGAGGGCTCCTTGATTTATATCCAGGGAACGTTGCTAAACGACGACAGACAAATTACTCCCCATTCGTTGGTCCATTTCTTGGAAGACTTAGGATGCTTTCGTTTATAAAACTGTACAGTTTGAAGTATTTATATTTCAATGTTGAGAAGACTTTAAAGAAGCTTGAAATGATTTATCGATCACGGTAATCGTACGATAACAATGATACTGCAGTTAGTTACTGCAGGGTAGAACCTGTCGCGTCGATCAACGCTAGAGGAAGACTTGATGGATTTTAACCCCTGACTGATATTCGATTACCGATCTGCTTCCCTCGACCGATAATCCATTATAGTTCTTGCATCCCCCGCGTCAGATACTCATTCCTTCGGTGACTCGTGCGTTTTCTGGAATTTATCAAGCCGAATTGGATCGTAAATGGGGTTCATACGGAATTTCGACCGGCTGAGGGTGAATACGAGAAGTTGCCTGTTGTGAAAGCGATGACCGTGTGATGAAGCATCGCCCGGGGGCGGAAAGTAACAAGACAAACGAAACAGTGCTTTTAAATACCTTTCCTTTATTTATGGACGCGTTTTATCGCCACGCGTTACATTAACATATGTAGGTTAGATTACTTTTGGATTACTGCAAGATAGATCATTACATGATAGATTGTTAGATTACTGCAAGCTAGATTACCACGCGTTAAATTACTACGAGTTAGATTACCACACGTTAGATAACTACGCGTTAGATTACTACGCGTTATACTGGCACGCGCCAGATTACCACACGTTAGATTACTACGCGCTAGATTACACCAAGGTAGATTTCCACGCGTTTAGTTACTATACGTTACATTTTCACGCGCCAAATTACCACGCGTTAGATTACCACGTGTTAGACTACCACATGTTAGATTACTACGCGTTACATAACTACGCGCTAAATTACCACCCGTTAGACAACCACGCGCACTATTTTCATAAATTAGAGTTCCACGTGTTGAGTTACCACGCGCACACTTCCACGCGTTGCATTTCCACACACGACACATCTACGCGTCGCGCTTCCACGCGTAGCATTTTTACGCGTCGCATATCTACGCGTTGCACTTCCACCCGTTGCGTTTCCACGCTTTCAATTGTCATACGTTGCATTCTGTCGCGTTGAACCGTCACTCATCGCACTTGCACGCGTTGCATTTTGACGCGTTACAATTCCACGCCGCATACACCAGCGACCCATATTAAACAATTTCCCCGTCGGAGAGCGACGATAGCTCTTTGAAAGAGCATCGTACGAAATCTCAAGCGTGCAGTCGAGGCGTTCATAGCGAAACAGTTGCGGGACTTGGGGATATTTACGCACTCGCGGCAGACGCGGCAAAGTTGTAGCACAAGGGGTGCAAAGGATCGCGATGCTCGCAAGAGAAAAGACCGCGTAAGGGTGGTGGGAGACCCTTTAATCTTCGCGGATCAAAACGTCGCGGAGCCACGAGACGATCGACCACCATGCCGCTCGTCTACGAGAGCGCGTGATTGCTTCGTGTATTCGAGTGGAAGCGGTTTCAAAGGGGCGAGCTGCGCAAAGAAAATTGCATTGTAATTAAAACCGCGGCGTCTTTGTGGGTCGCTCGGTGCTCCAAAAGTGCACTCGCCGTCGGGCATGCATTCATCATCCGATTGTACGCGCAAAGAGGATACGTCGGTTGATGTTATCGCGGGCAATAATCGCGTACAATTGTTTCATCCCGGAGTATGCACGTGGCCGATGTGTTTGCTTAGAAGATTCAACACGATTAGATGCCTGCATGTTATTTCGAAATAAAGTTTTCCTTCGAGGCACAGATTCCTCTGAGGACAATTGTAAGTTTTCTTAGAACTTATTAAACTAATCATTGATATATCAAACTCATCGTGTATCGGATAAAAAGGTTTGAGTATACGTGCAAATACAAAGGCGAAATCCATTTTAAGATGCGCTTATAAATGGCGGGGAGATACAAAGGTCATAAAAAGCAATCGAAGAAAGTTCGGCGAAAAGAAAGGAAGGCAGACTCTATTTAAAATGAAGGGATCTATAAGGGACGAGTAACGAATCTTCTTTACGGTCCATAAATCAGCGGTAGCCGCATTGGAACTTTAATTGCATTCGAACGAGTGGCCCTGTTCCAATTTCCCTGCGATGCCATCGGTTATACAGCATCCTCGGAGCGCACCTAAAAGAAGTCATTCCGGCTGCGCATAAAAGGAACGAAGATACAAACGACGAAAATAATTCGTAGACCAGTCATAAAAGTGTACGATAAACGTAACTTCTTCTGATCGATAAACGTAAGATACACGAGTGGATGGAAGCAATTTCAATCCACGATCGTGTTTCTCCGAGAATGAACCTGTGGGGAGATCAGTGAAGTCAGCTTGGGCGTGAATTGAACGCGGTAATGCAATTTCATCAACGCGCAGGAGGGAACTGACCCTCGCAAGTCCACGAAAGGTCATCTCTGTCTCCAGGTTTTGACCGACCCTCGAATAATAAACGGACCGTTAGCATTGATTAAAGCGCACGGCCCGATGGTCTGTTTACTGTTTCCGCCCTGTACCTTCACGGAGGACTTCTGCAAACGCAGGAGTGTCGGAACGGTTTGTGTCTACCCTGACATGTCGGCAGAAATTGCTTCCAATTTGGGATCGATGGAAATTAAACACAAGGTCTGAATCTTTGATATCTAGTGCTGTTGGTCAAATTAAATTCGTTGTTCCTTCGTTCGAGTACTTTCATATATGTAGATACACAGACAGATAATGTGTGATATGTGATACTTACATGTATGAAATCATATGTATGTCTTACATGTATGAATCCTTGATATCTGCTGCTGTTGATCAAATTAAATTCGTTGTTCCTTCGATCTCGAGTACTTTCATACATATAGACAGATATATAGACATATACTGTGTGATATGTGATACTGTCTTATATGTATGAAATCATATGTGTGTCTTATATGTATGAATCTTCGATATCTACTGCTGTTGATCAAATTAAATTCGTTGTTTCTTCCTTCGAACTCGAGTACTTTCATACATATAGACAAATACATAGACATATACTGTATGATATGTGATACTGTCTTATATGTATGAAATCATATGTATGTCTTACATATATGAATCTTTATCTACTGCTGAGGTGATCAAATTAAATTCGTTGTTCCTTCCTTCGAACTCGAGTACTTTCATACATATAGACAGATATATAGACATATACTGTATGATATGTGATACTGTCTTATATGTATGAAATCATATGTGTGTCTTATATGTATGAATCTTCGATATCTACTGCTGTTGATCAAATTAAATTCGTTGTTTTCCTTCAAACTCGAGTACTTTCATACATATAAACAGATACATAGACATATACTGTATGATATGTGATACTGTCTTATATGTATCAAATCATATGTATGTCTTACATGTATGAATCTTTGATATCTACTGCTGAGGTGATCAAATTAAATTCGTTGTTCTTTCCTTCGAACTCGAGTACTTTCATACACATATATAGACAAATACGCAATGTATGATGCCCAGATAATGTATATGTGATACTGTCTTACATGTGAAGAAAGAAAGTTGTAATTATTGTTGGAACGTGACTTTGGTTGATGTTCGGTTCATTTCGAGTCAATGTCTCGTTACCGAGATTGCAAAGAGTCTTTGTTGGAAAACTGATTCGTATAAAAGCTCGGTCCTCGTGGTTTCCTCGATAATCTCAAAGCTGGACCTCGTGGACGAAAAGGAACGACACGATCGTGGAAAGTCGCTTCTTTCCGTAATTAAAATCCGCTCGGTCTTTTTCCATCACGCGAGAACGAGTGTAACGGGGACGAGGAGCACCTCGTTACAAGAGTTGTCCGCACGTAGAGGGCCGAGAAAGGGAGAGGACATTCGGTCTCCATTATGCGAGGGTCACGCGTGTTAGGCCAACATAATATGTGACGGAGGTCTGTTCTTTTATATAGTTGCTCTTCTGTCTCCATCTCGAGCATCGCGAAAGGAACTGTCGTAATGCGAGCCCGGATAAATGAAAAACCGTCTTTAGAGCCTAGATCGCTACGACGACTTCTAACCAAAACGAGAACCAAGGGAAGAAAAGATGGACGTATCTTGATACGCGACAATCGCGCCTTACGCCTCGGGGTTGTTAAGTAAAGTAACCTACGACCTCGTTATTTTCCTTACTGAAAATACGGGATTCTCTTGCGAACGGTAATAGTCGGAATCGAGATGAAAATATGCGACTGATCCTGCAATTCCAATGCGTCCCAACCAGCGGAAAATGCGACGCGGAGGAAAATACAGCGCGTAGAAAATTGCGGCGGGTGTAAAGTTGAATGCGTGGAAAATGCGATGCGCGAAAAATGCAAAACGCGGCGCCTGGAAAACCGTATCGCGGTGCACCTCGACTGTAAACAGCACTTGATAAGTTTCAGGCCGTAATGTTCCGAACAAGTTAATGGTTAAAGCAATTAGCCAGAAAATAAAAGAGCCGAGGTCAAATTTCCGGAATATCTTTCTCGCAACAAAGAAAGATAATCTCCGGCAAGAATTCCTGGTTTATTATCGTTGGCTCCATTTCGCAGGAATTCACTCCGGCAAATGTAACGATACAGCTGAACGACAGCAAGCGTTTTTGTGCTCTCGCGATAATTAATTATCAACCCAGAAACGCGATGCTTCGCCCACGCGATCCATGGATCCATCAAGGTTTGTCCGATGCCACGTTAATGCCTCGTTAATGCGTCTAATTAACGAATTGCTGTCTCTAATTATCCGCGTGATTATGCCGAACAATGCAGCTCTCAAAATTCTGGATCCAGTAATTGCATCTCTAATCTGATTAATTAAATACTTTCTCGACTTCCGGCTTCTTTTACAAAATCCTCCCTCTATCACGTAAAAACGTCGTTAATGCGTCCCTCCTCTTGCGGTTCGAGTCCATTTCGGTAAATTGTATCGCGTCACGCACGCCACCAATCATCCTCCTAATTCTGCGTGTCATCGAAGAAGTAGCTTTTATAAAAAGATCCATCTGCGGACTCGACAAACGATAGACCTGTTAATATCGTAAAAATATCGAGCGTCTATTCATTTTAGAAGAACAAAGATTCGGACCAGCAAACCTCAAACGTGACTTAATAGTCCGTGAAACAAATGGTAGTCCCGTCTCATCCCCCAGGAAGCCACCCCGACGACAGCAGTGATTTAATTCCGGGGGCTCATCTTCCAGATTGGGGGCGCGGTAACTTTTCAATCAGCCGTCAAGTCCGCGGTCGCGAGAGGGTGGAACACTGGGGGTCATGAGTACCCTCGAAAAGTTGCCAAATTCCTGACAACACGCTCACACGAAGTTGTCTACAGATCAGCCGCAAAATCTACTTCAACCTTGTCCCCTTGACCTAGGATTTTGTCGACAGATTCGGAGAGATCATTTCTTGATTATACAAATTATAATTAGTATTAAACTCCAGGTTAAATATGATTTTATTTCGTTGTACCTAAACTGGAATGTGCATCGAATGTGACACGATATTGTAAGCGAAAAGTGAAATAAAATACTTAGATGACTCGTGAATAAACCTTAAATTAAAAATGTGATGGACAAACCCTTCTGTTCGATCTTATTTTAACAGCAGCGTTAAAAAAACGAAATAAACAGAAATGCACAGAAGCAGCAACTTTCATCTTTCTTTTAGAAGTCTGGTCCGCAGTAATCGTCGATAAATACACTCGAGGCGCTCTCTAAAAATAATTATTTTAATTGCAACTTCGCGTCCGAGCGTTCGAAAGATTTCCGAAATGTCCTCGACAGAGGGGAGCACGAACGAGATTGACGTGGTTGACGAAGAACGAAAACGCGAGGGAAAACGGTGAAATTCAAAGCCCGCTTAATCCATCCGGACGGGCCTGTGGAAATATTTTCTTAACGAGAATATTCAATTTTCCCGATCGATTCCCTCCGATGAAAATTATTCGCGCACCCTTCTGTACGATATCGGTTTCAACCCTCGATCTCTGGCCGTTCGCGTCGACAGGCCATCGAATAGTGTCGCGTATGAGATAAGTCGCCGAATACGCGATGGAAAAACAGAAACGAGGAAAACAGCTTCGTAGAATTAACTTCGTGCTCTGTAGAATTTTCATTTACTTCAAATTTTAGGAAAAATATGACGGTCAAACATTTTTTAAATATTTTTAGGTTATGTTACGATCTTATTAGAATCTGTGCATATTGTCATAGCAGGTTCGTCATGCATAGACTGTGGAGTTTCGCTATATGGCCTAGAATATTGTAAAATAATATTCTTAGATGTATCTTTAATATGCATTGAAAATTCGGCTATTCGCAGATTATTGTTTATTCTAAGATGAGATAGGTTGGTTATTTGAAAAAGGGGCTTTTGTTGAAATCACGTCGAATGAGACAGCCGACGAATTCCTACGAAATTCCTGAATATGGAAATCGACGGGTAGCATACGTCGACCCGGCCACAATATACGGTGGGCCCGTCTCGTTCACTCCGTCAACGACGAGGAAGTTTTGTCGATAGCGGCGCGCGTTTTCCCCGGAACCTATAACGAATTCCGATACACGTCGGTCCAGGGGCTTTAATATCGCCACACCATGGCCATTAACACTTTTAAATTCGCACATTACGTTATATATAACGAGGGAAGTACGGTGGGGATCTCGATTTAACCCGGGTCCGTTCAGCCATTCGTCGGTCGATAAAAAGAATCTCGTCATCGACAGCCACACACGATCATAACGATGAATTCGCGATATGATGTTCGCTAATGCCGTCGCAATTCGAAATATTACGAACGCGCCGCGTGGTCGTCATTAAATTATATATTAATGCCACGCATCGTTTAATACCGTATTTCGGAACTGTTTCCGCTCGAAATCCTCCGGCTAGCGAATACACTCTCGTTCGATCGCGAATTCCCAAAATTTTACAATTCGATAATTTCGTTAGATTCGAAAATTCAGGGATTCAGAAATTTGGAGATCTTGTCGAATCGAATAGCCCTCATTATGTATTAATACCACGCACCGTTTAATACCGTATTTCCGCTCGAAATCCTCGGTGGCCAGCGTTCGTGGCTGTATTCTCGGTGCTCGTCGAATTTTCCACGAATTACCAGCCAC